GTCAGCACAAAGTCTTTTCAAGACGCAGACACCTACGGACTGGACTGCCACTCATCTGCAGGACTGTTCCTCTGTCATCCATGTCCCTTTGGTCAATCTCTGTGCCTACTTATGATGCTTTCTCCTCCTTTTGTATTGATTCTTTGATAGTGAGTCCTTTAACCAGAGTTCTATTTATTCCATCTTAAAATATTTCAAAAACTACGTTTATGAAAATTTCCATTTGTCAAATTAATGTCAGCTCTTCCTTTATTTTGTTATGTAATACAATTTGTTTTTATTTTAAAAAGGTAGTCATTATTTACATGTATTATAGTTGTTTGTTTCTCAGAGAACTATGCTTTAGTTGTACAATTTCCATATAATTAGTAATATTCTCACAGATTGAAAGCACATAGATAAATATTAGTATTCTAGTATTTCTTAGCCCAGATATTGTGTGTTCATAAATCTGTTTTTTCTCTCTTTAGAGTCTTTACCTAAAATCTGTTTTCCAGAAAACTAAAAATACATTGTGAAATGTATGGGGATAAACATAAAACACTGAATAAGATCTGTCACATCTGATACATTTCCTCTGGTAAAAGTTCAGTGCTGAGACATGGGTTGCTTCCTGGGCCACATGTATGAGGAGCCCTTTTGATGTGGGAGTGATTTCTTATTAATAAAGAAACTGCCTAGACCCATTTGATAGGCCAACCCTTAGGTAGGCGGAGTAAACAGAATGGAATGCTGGGAGAAAGAAGCTGATTCAGGGAGTCGCCATGATTCTCCCACTCCAGACAGACGCAGGTTAAGATCATTCCTGGTAAGCCAGCTCTTGGGCTACACAGATTAATAGAAATGGGTTAGATCAATATGTAAAAGCTAGCCAATAAGAAACTGAAACTAATGGGTCAGGCAGTGTTTAAAAGAATACAGTTTCTGTATAATTATTTCGAGTAAAGCTAGCCATGCGGGCGGCCGCATGCCAGGGACGCAGCCCTGCCGCTCGTAACACAACAGAATGGCGCCCAACGTGGGGACTAAATCCACTTAAAAACCTGAGAAGGCTTAAAAATAAGGGAAAGAGACTTTAACACAGATTTTTGCTGTTTGTTGGTGGCGTGCTGTAGAGAGATTTCCTGATTCGACAACAGCAACAGAAAAAAAAGCTGCGTCATTTTAAAGTGTGGCTTCTTGGGACTGTGCCGCCAGTGCAAACTCTGGCTTTAAAGCATTTCAATGGATTTTATGGGACTGGATGTTTGTGTTCCCGCTTGGGATCAGAAGGAGAGTGCTCTCAGCGCTCCCCGCCTGCACCTGGGCAGATGGCAGAATCAGGCTTAGGCAGGCGGAATAGCATGGTGAAAGAGACGTGTTTTCAGACTGCGCAGTACTCTGCATGTCAGATTTGGTTGTAACTTGGATAAAAAGAGTTTCTGTGCTGCATGCTCAGTCTCAAAATTAAACTACTGAGTGCGGCTCCAATGAGGACTTGCTGTGTGCCTGGAACTGTACACAGCTCAGGGGCACCAAATGGATCTGAGGCAGGAGCGGCTGCTCCTTGCTGAACTGTGCTGGTTGGCAGGAACTACCGTAATTACCATAATAACAGAACAGTTAAGGTTTGGACTGGGCAGGACACAGGTGGTACCGTATTACCTGTACATGGTGCAACTTAAGTTTTTAAGAAGTGCTTAACATTTTAAGAAATGCTCCTGGATAATAAAAATATTACAGATTCACAATAAAACAAATTCAGACATAACAGACCTCAGTGGATCACAGCGTTGGATAAATGTACATAGGCTTGAGAGAGAGAAGAATAAGAATATAGAGAATAAAGCAAATGTCTTAAAAAAAGGGTAAAGTCTTTAAAGAGACAGAGTACAGATAGTTAAGAGATTAAAAGAAATAAAGAAAAATAAGCCACGTAAAAATGGAAAATTCACAGAGAGTCTGGATTATGTACATTGTGTTTTCTTTAAAATTTTTGACTGTAAAGGAGCCAAGTACAGACAGACATTTCATTCCATGGGCTGCCAAGCTAAACCATAATGGATATAAAGGTATTACGATTTCAAAATTTGGGTCTAAGGATATGATACTTTGGAAAGGGTCTTCTTTTGTTTTCACAGAGGACCAGACCCTGTGGATTTCTTCTATCCCAATTTGGTATGATAGAACACGACCTCCTGAAAAGTTGCTGTGAACATCTTCACAAAATTACTTCACTCAACTGCCAACTGAGATGAACCTGACACACAGGTTACACCCTAAACGATCTGATTAACAGCGCCCCCATTCAGCAGGAAGCAGTTTGGAGAGAAAAAACTGCGCCCATGTTCCCAAAATATTGTTTGTAAATGTTCTTTTACATTTAAAGGGGGAAATGATATAGGTATGAGTAATTTGCATTGGTGTGGATTTTACAGTCAATTTTGTTATATGTATATGTATTTCTGATCTTGATTAAGGTATTGTGATTGTGTAGTTCATTTAAAAATGTAATGTATAATTAAGAAATATAGGTTAATGGTTAATCATCAATAATAGTCAAGCTTGTAGTCATGTTAGTTAGATTTTCTAGATATATAGAGATATATTTCAGATAGGCATTCTTCATATCTCTCAAAGGCTACAGAATATGGCATTTAAAATATTTTAATAACTTAGGACTTTTCATGACAATGAGACATATCTGCTCCTGGCAGCACCAATCTACTTCAAGAAGAAGATGGGCATCAAAGAGGATCCTTATGGAGTTTGATAGCCATTTGGGCAAGAAACTGTTCTTGCCTGGACTGTTGCATAAAATGGACACAGAAAACCCACAGAGAGAGGACTGCTGAACTTGCCTAAAGGTGAGACGGTCTTTTGGGGTTCATGACTCATGAAAGAGTCTGCGAGACATTCTGCAGGACACAGCAGATAGTGACTGAACTGTCTTTGAAATTTCCTGCTTCATGGAAATGTCTGCTGGATACTATGGGCCTGAAGGCTGAAGATGGATGCCCCAACGGTACAGAGGAACTTTGGGTGACTGTCCAGGCAGCAAGATGTCTCTGTCATTTCTAGAGTTTTCTTATTTCTTGTTTACTTAGGTAGTATTATATCCTTCTGGAGTCTTTGATGGAGTTGAAGAATGAATAGATAGTTATAGTTTTCCTTAGTAATGATAAAAGATAAAATAGATATAAATATTGTAACTGTAATTCTTGCTTGATAACTGTTTTGCTATATATAATTTTACTATGTTAAAGTTAAAGCCTTTCTTTTTTGTTTAAACAGAAAAAGGGGAAATGATGTGGGAGTGATTTCTTATTAATAAAGAAACTGCCTAGACCCATTTGATAGGCCAACCCTTAGGTAGGCGGAGTAAACAGAATGGAATGCTGGGAGAAAGAAGCTGATTCAGGGAGTCGCCATGATTCTCCCACTCCAGACAGACGCAGGTTAAGATCATTCCTGGTAAGCCAGCTCTTGGGCTACACAGATTAATAGAAATGGGTTAGATCAATATGTAAAAGCTAGCCAATAAGAAACTGAAACTAATGGGTCAGGCAGTGTTTAAAAGAATACAGTTTCCGTGTAATTATTTCGGGTAAAGCTAGCCGGGTGGCGGGACACAGCCCGCCGCTCGTATTTCAACACCCTTTCCTAACATATCATTCTTTTCCTTTACCCCAGAGTCTAGTAGACTAAATTCCTCTGGATTCTTTGATTATCGATCTCTTCTACATATTTTTTAATCTTTGAAAGTTCCATGAGTTTATACAATATATATTGATCATATCTACCCCAACTACCCCCTTTTCTTACTAACTCCCCACCCTATTTCTCCCCAAACATTGTATTTCAATTTAATTTTGTTTTTGTTTTAAATAACCATTTGGGTTTATTTAATGTTGCACATATAAACTTAAGTGTGTGTGCAGTCACTGGGGCATGGGAACCTGCCAGTGGGCATGTTTCCAGGGGAAATGACTGTTCGTCACCAGCCATCAACTGCCCTTAGCCCCTCTGATAGGCTTTGGGGGGGGGGGGTCTTATGTGTCAGTTGACTGCCTTGTTCAGGTGACCACAGCTCCTATGAGTAGACACATACAACAACTTTGTCATTTCTGGAAGTCAGCATCTTAAAGTTCTCCCATAGATGATCTGACATTTACATATTTCTGCCTTCTCTTCATTGAGCCTTGGGTAGTGGAGATTGATATGGACGGCCTGTCCACAGCTGAGTACTCATGGTTATTTGTGCATCAGCCACTACCTACTGACAAGAGAAGCTTCTCTGGTTAACGTTGAGAGCAACACAGATATATGAGTATAAACATGAGTATTTAGAATTTAGTTTGACATCATGACCGTTTGGCAAAACAACAGTCGGCTCCCCCAGGACCTATTATCTCCCAAGTCATGGGCTTTTTATCATGTTTGTAGTACCATGCAGAAATTCCCTCCTGTGGAGGAGGTAACCCCGTATAACTTTCATGCCATTTTTACCTCATGGACACATCTTTTCAGCAGGTCAGGACTAAAGCATGTAGTGTCCAGTATTGGATAAGGCCTTTGAATGTGTTTATCATCCATCTATAAAAAGGCTTATATTAATAAGAGCAGTTTTTCTTATTAAATTCTTGAAAATTATTTTATGATCAAAGTTAACTTATGTTTAATTATGTTTCACACATTGATTATCATCTAGCTATACCTAGAAACTGAACTGTTTCTTGAAAATGAAGTTGTCAGTTGTCAGCAGTGGGTAAGTTGCTGTCATCTGCCATATGGTTTCTGATTAATTCTTCAAGAGCTGATGACACAACATAATTCAGTTCTTTATGCTTTAAAATTATGTTTGTTACCAGGATGTGAACATTTAAAGGTTTGGTTATGAGCTGAGAGAGTGGTAGATACTGCTTAGCATTGAGGAGATTCTGGGAAGCAACACAACAGCAACAGTAATCATTGGGATGCCTAGGAATTATGACTAATAAACACTATTTTTCTCTTTCTAGAGAAAAACAGAAATCTGAAGTCAAAGACCGAAAAGTTCTGGAAATTTTACAAGTCAAGGATGTTAAAATACAAGAACTGGAGCAGGTTGTATTCTAATAGAAATATCAAATATTATATTTGCTTCAGGTTGTAGATATTTAAAATTATTTGAAATTTGTGTTATAGTATAGTATCATTAAGAATATCAGAATTATTCATGAAAGAATTGTTTTGAAATTACTGTAGTCAATTTTTTATTATTATACCATATTTTTACCCTACTCTTTGTCTTCTAGGTTGATTAGGTATAAAACTCATTAAAATGCTTAACAGGCTTTTGGGGATTTTAAAATAATATATATCATTCATTGTTTTATTGTATTTTATTTTTATACATTATTAGTCATGTGTTTCTGATACATACATGTTTACATGGATTTGGTTATAGAAAATATTCACAATAATTGGTACTATTCTATTTTACCTTTGAAAATTTGTATTATTGAAAGTTTGTACAATTATTTGCATTATTTACAGCCCTATCTTTTACATATAACTTAAATCACAGAATTAAACAAAAATTTATAGTTTGCATGTATTTTTATAATCAGAAAGTAAGTACCACAAAAATGTGTGTGCTCTCCCTGGACCACAAAATTCCATCCAATGATACTGTGGGGTGCATTTCACAGTCAAAGCATACCATTCTAGTTTGTCTCCCATGTCTCTTCTCTAGCTCACATTGCAAAATAGATCTAGTCTATCTCTAAGAGTTCCTTATAGTCTCAGTACTAGCATTTTTCAGAGCTCTAAGCTGCAAGTCTCTTCTGAGACCCAATTCAAACTCTTATTTATTGGCCCCTGTAAAATTAAAAAAAAAAGAAAATAAAAGAGCAGTATAGACTTCCAGTATAGACTTCTAGCACAGCATAAACATACCCATACAAAATTAGAAGAACAGGACATAGGAAGGAGAGATGGAACGAAAGCAAGACCCAACCCAGCAGGATAAACAGTAAGTCCTGGAGCTCCATTTTTGGCATATGGGGCACATGACAGTGTGATCTGGGCCCCGAAGGACTTGGGCAGTTCTGCACTGCTATCCTTGCCATTTACAGTCACATGGACTCTCTTTGGAGCTAGATGGGCTCTCTGCTGCTTTCCCTGACAGATAGTATGCATTGCTGGCGTTTCTTCTCTCTTGGCCTACACCAAGGTTTTATTTTACTCTTACAATCTCATGAATTGTTCTCTCCAGGGCTGTTGGAAGGGATGCTGGAATTGTTATACAAAGCTTGTCTTCCTAACCCTTCCTTTAAAATTTGGGTGAGATGACATGATTCTTGATTCTATATATCTGTAAAACTAAATCATGTGAACTATACCTCTTTACATCATGGATGCAGTAGTCTCTGAACACGCAAATGGCTGGTAATGCGGGGAAGCACTTCCTTAGCTGGCCCTGTACAGGCAGAGTGCCACACAGTTCTTATCCTAGGTCCAGGTGTTTCAAATGAGCTAAAACCTCTACATACTTGATCCTGAAATGGGTGGAGTTCAGCTATTCCTGAGGCGCTACCATCTTTCCTCAACAAGCCTGGGCTCTTTTCAAAAGCTCTGGTGTCTTTCGTATCTATGGTTCCTTGGCCCCACCTTTCACTGTGCTCATTTTATGGAATGGCTGGAATACTTCAAATCCTCATGCTCTCCACTTTTTCTGTAAGCCTGACTGTGCCTCTCGTAATAATCATGCTACCACCTCTGTGCTGGCTACCTTTGCAGTTTTATTCGCCAGATTATTTGGTCTGTCATTTAAAACTTAGCCTCTCACAAATTTTCAGGACACAAACTACAAACTCTTCATGAGAATGCATCACAGATCCTCTCTGTTCCAATTCCCACTTGAGTCCTTGTTTCCATGACACGTCACAAGCACGCCACATTTTGTTCAGCATTCTCCTCTGAGTTTTTGACCAAACTGCTTACAACATTGTAGATCTTCTGTAGTCTTGTTGTATGACAAGATTTCCTAGGGAGACACAACATACATGTCTACTCACCTTGGATGGGGAGCCCGTGACAGACCAAAGTATAGTTATCACCAAAGTCCAAGTTGGTCAATCACTGAGTTTTATTTGGGGTTACTTACAGGAATATGGGTGAGGTGTTGCTTACAGGAACAGAAGTGACAAAAAGACAGCTGTATCACCAACATGTACCCCAGGATGGGCAACAGCTCACAAAACCTGGAAAGCTGGAGCCCACGCACAGCCTGCAGCAGTGGAACAAACTGAAGGGTGTTCTTTCCTGGTGGCTCAGTTGGTCTTCTAGGCAGGCTGGCTGATGTTTCTGCTTCTTCCAGGCTGCTCTGCTCTCTGTTTCTTGTTTGCAGTTTGTCCGAGAGTCTTCTCTGCAATTTGAATTTTAAAGAGTGACATCCCTCTTAGGATGGAGGGACCTAATGAATGTGGTCAATTTTAGGGACTTCCTCAAGTTACTTTGAGCTGTTTCCCTTCTGTCTTATGGAGCCTCCCTGCAGGATGGAGTGTTTCAATGTAGGAAGGAACTACTACATAAGAAGCCTCTATCTTCATTCTTCCATTACAATAGGCTCTATGTCAATCTCATCGTTCACATATCTACACTTTTCCATATTTTCCCACAGACTAATACCAAACAGTTCTGCAGTGTGGTCATAGCAATGATTCTACTCCTGGAACCTATTTTCTATAAGCCTTCTTGTTACTCTGACTAATACTTGACTGGAGTATCTTTAAGGGGGTTGAATTCATCTTGGCTCACAGTTTCTGAGGTTTTGGCCCATTTTGATAAGGAGGGTGTGTAGAGCCCACAGGTAAACTGGTGGTGGCCAGGAGTTTAAACCATGTCAGTGCTGGCTTCTTTCTTTCTTTGTTCTCTCCTGTTCATCTGGGTCCCCGGAACATGGGATGGCTTTCAGGGTGGATGCTGCTACCTTGAAATGCGCTCACAGACATAACTTAGCATGTACTCTACTCACCTCCTAGGTACTTCTCCATCCAATCAACTTGATAATCAGGATTAACATGTACTGTTAAAATACATTGCAGAAGAGACACTTTACTGGCCTACTCATTCTGGGCTAGCAAGTGTGAATTCTGAAAATCCAGTTTCTCACAAAGGTAAATTTAATTAAATACATAAAAATATTCTATATATTTATTTATTTATTGTGGCACATGCCTTTTTTATTGGATCTATTTAAAACTCTGTTCTCTGCTACATCAGAATGAACTATTCTCTAGTCATCCTATGGCAGTATGGAATAGCAGATCTTGGCCCTCCTGCAGCTTTGAGGGATCAGGCTTATGCATACCCTTTAGTAATTCCATCTAGATGGGTTTGGCCCTTCTGCCTCCTTCTGGGTCCTGTGGAGCTTTCTGCTCTGCTCCTCTACTCTCATAATTCCATTTTGTCTGCATCTCTTCTCCGTCTCTTCAATTTGACAAAATATTAATTTGATAGAGAACCCAGTTTTCTGATAAATCCAGGAATTGTGAATTTTCATTTTGTTGAGTTTTTTCTCTTGTGTGGATGAAAATGGGACTTTAAAATCCTTTCAATGCCGAATTAAAATAGAGACGGCCCTCTGTTGAATTTTGGTTGTGTCACTGAGTAATACTATGTACCCCCTCACCACACACAGGATATATAGTTTGTGAAATACAGTATCAATTGGAATGAAATTTCCTTGAGTTCTCTTTTCTTTTTTGCATTTTTGAGACAGGGTTTTTCTGTGTAGCTTTGTTTTTTTTTAATTTCAATAATCATAATCCTTGTGTTTACTCAAATTATTTGACAGTTCACATCATATATCATGTTACTCATTATAAAATATATATATACATTTTATAAAAAAAAACTTGATTCTAGACAGGGCCTGCCTCTGCCTCCCAAGTGCTGCGATTAAAGGCGTGCACCACCACTGCCTGGCCAGAGTGTACTCATTTCTTAAGCAATCCTTTGTGCTGTCAGCCATCAGTATTACCATTTCCTAGTGGCACTAATTCAGCTAAGAGAACTGCTCATTTCTAGATTAAAAGAGTGAAAAGGCAGAGTAAAACCATCACACTAAGGATTTCTTTGGGCTGCTTCTGCCGCATGGGGGAGCTAGCATATAGGGCAGAGTCTTCCCAGACTGACTCAGTGAGGACATGAGGATTTAAGCTTATGTAGGCAAAAGGACCAGGCTAGTAAAAGCCAGAGTTCACTGTTGACTAAAGAGGAATTTCTGCTTCCACCCTGATTGCTGTTTACATGGAGCACCAGGTTTCTCACTTGACACAAGCCTGCTCATGCCTGTTAGGTCCACCAGCATGTGAGGGATGAGTCAGAGGCTGGAGGGAAACTAGTAAGTCAGGAAGGAAGCTGGTGATAGCAGATATGGCAGCTCTAGAGCATCGCCTCTACCACCGAGTGGACTGCGGTGGCGGCGGCAGCAATATGAAGACAACCGAAATGGCAATGGTGCATACAGTCAGTGTGGTACACAAAGTCATGGTGGTCAAAGGGCAGACACAGCCTGAGGGACCGTGGTGTTGCTGCAGCCTGCAGAAGTGGTAGGTGTGTGTCATTCCACCTACTACCACATCTAACCTCCCAGATCAGCAGACCAGTGCGGTTGCCAGCCTCCAACCTGGGCTGGAGGGGCATGTGTAGGTTACCTTAGTGTCCACTCAGGCTGCAAAAAATCAGCAACAAAACTAATCATGCCCGAGAAAAGGACATTTAAACAAGAATTTTCACAAACCCAGCTAATCAACAAATAAGAAAAAAAAGGAAGAAAGCTACCCAAACAAACAAAAGAACCTGCTAGCTGTTGGGAGGGTTAAACCTTTGCTGCTCTGTCTCAGAACTGGAGTTGTGTCATGCTGGCTATAAGGTAAGTTACATTGTGAAACCCTTTTCTTTATTATAGGAAATGACGCGACTTCTGATAACCTAGTATACTGCAGTTAATGAAGTGTTGCTCTTTAGTGTTCTCTGTCTGTCTCTGTCTCTGTCTCTGTCTCTCTCCCTTCTAGGAGGCATAGAAATGAATGTTGGTTTTCATTTGTACTTATTTTCTTACTCCCTCCTCTTTCTTTTTTCCATTGTTTTAGTTGTAGTGGTGTCATTACTTCTCTGTGTGTTATTAAAGCTCTTATTTCCATTTTGAAATAGTTTGTAGTTAGTATAAATTAACTGTACTCCAGTTACTCTGCCTTAATAGCACATGGCCTCAGGAAAGAGCTGGAGTATAGTAGGGTTTTAGGTTCTATGCTGTTCCCTAATCCACACTTACTCTATAGGCTTCTCTTGACCAGGGTTTAAATTATTCATTTCTTGGCTTGTCCATAATAAATTATTTGTTTCAGACATGCTTTGTCTTGTTGCCCTTTATGCTTTATGGTTCCTCTGAGTTCTGTTTGCTATTTTAGTATGAGCTCATGTCAGACTATCAGAAATTTACTGTATCTAGAAAGGTTTGCTGAAAGAGTATCCTACTGCTAAGCTTTAAAATTAATTGTCTCTGTATCTACCTATACTTTCATTATTTAAATTAGATTTTGGAAGATAGCTCAGTGGTTAAGAGCAGTGCTGCTCTTTCAGAAGACCCGGGTTCAATTCCCAGCTCCCACATGGCAGCTCATAACGGTCTGTAACTCCTGTACCAGAGGATCTGACACCCTCTTGCAGACATACATGCAGGCAAAACACCAATGTACATAAAAAAAAATAAATTACTAAAAATTATAAAAAAGATTTTTCATTAGGAAAATATACTTAATTCTTTAGAATTACAAAAGTTTGGGAGTTTATCAACTTTCTATCAGAAATTCATCTTTGTGTAACACTGATGATTATACTGTAGAATATCATTTTTACAATTAATTATCAGAATATGATGATTTGGGCAGGCCAATAACTAACCTTACTTTGTGTTTTTATTTACAAATTAGGCCTATATCTATTTTTTCCATCTTTCTAACTCATACAAGTGCCAGTCTTTAAATAGTAAGTAACTCACAGATGAACTTTCCCCTTGTGTCCTGCATGTTGTCAGTGCATGGTAATGTTCAGTTCCCTATAATAAGGAACCCTTGACAGACATCCCTTTTTTAGGGTTCGAACCTGTTCCAGAATATATGAGAGATGCTCTTAACTTTTTTTCACTTCTTTTGAAGGATAGGCCTATAGATGTTTTTATTTTTGAAGATATTTAATATTTATATCTTTGAATTTATAATTCTTATGGGTATTGTTTATACTAAGAATTTGTACAGATCATTGTTATTTTCTCTTTTGTCTCATTTCCCCCAACACTTGGTTTGATGACTAAATCAATCTAATGAACCATTCTTAGATTGTATTCTTGTTACTAAATAATGTACTGTTGAAGGCATGAGCAGTGTCTACTCGTCCTCCTAAAGTCCCAATGGTAAATTGAAGTACAGTTCTATCAAAGCTTATTGGGGGTCAGTGAGTTCTTTGGGCTTCCTTATAGAGCCTAGGTGAGGGGTTCCTTACAGAGGTATAGTCTTCCTCCTCTAAAAGGCTGCACCTTGATACCTTTTTACCAGTAGACAGGATGGCCTTTTCATGGTGATATAGAGCGAGCCCCCTCTCCTTGTCTTCCCTGACCTAACTCCATCTCTTTCCTGAGGTCATGTGCAGAGTTGTATATAACAAGTAATAGGAGGGCCTTGTGACCCTCCCCATTTTTCCATGAGGGTGGATATAGACAGTAAACAAGCCCAGCTGGGATAATCATTTTGCAAGCGGACTCAGATGAACACTCCAAGATGGTCGTTTCTGGGCTCAAATGATAGTCAGCTACAACTCTACTTAAAAGTAATATTCACTCATGTATACCTGGAGACATGATTAAGAGTGTTACAACTGCATTGTCTGTGTACATATATCTTCCATTAAGGAGGAAACAGCTGAACTATATACTGAGAAGAAATGAGTATATCAGGGTGTTCATAATGGAGCCATGTTTTCCACAAGTGTAATTGGATTGCAACTATATCCACCCATATGGATGAATCTGGAAGAAAATATTGAACAAAAATAGCAAGACACAGAACATGTATAGTATAATTTAATATAATGTTAAAAGTGAGGCAAATTATATAATATATTAAATAAGAATGAATATTTCTTTAAACTGTTGAAAATAAAAGAAAAGAAAAGAGAAGACAACAAGATGCATCCTTCCAGTATAGCTGTTACCTCTGGAGTGGTTGGGCAGGGGGCTGGGGTGGGAGATGGTTAGAAGATGAGGGAACCTACAGGGACTTCACAGATAATGGCAACCTTGTGGTATTTATTTGGTTGACATGTAGAGTGCTTTTGCTTTTCTTTTTTTTCATTTTAACCCAATTTCATGCATCAGTTTTAGATGTATTCAACATATAAAATACTTTTAGTATAAGTAAAATAAAATTAACATTTAACAATATAGCTTTTGTTTTTCTTTATTTCTTTTCTTGTCAGTTGAGCACCGGTGCTGACTTTAACAAATTCCTCACTTTTAACTGCCGTTCATTTTCCCCTTGAATCTTGCTCTAGATTTCATAAATTCTCCAGTCCTTTGAAGAGGGCTTAATAAATAATAGATATTGAACTATAAAATAAATAGATATTCAGGGATTTGAGCATCATTGTTACACCAGAGATAGACTAAAGGTTAGTTTCTACTCAAATTTTTATTTAAAACAAAAACAAAGCCAGACATAGTGGTATAGACCTCTCATCTCTAGTAATGGAAGTCTGAGGAAAGAGGATTGTCAGGAGTTTGAGGCCAGCCTAGTCTATGAAGTAAGTTCCATGCCAGCTAGGGCTAGAGTGGGATTCTGCCTAAGACAACCAACCAACCACAGAAATATAAATAAATAACCGAACAACAACAACAATCCCAGTATTCTATTCTGTTGTGTCTGCTTCTTGGTTGCAGAGCAATGCTGACACTGTTGGGTCATACCTGTAGGCTTCAAATAAGTGTGTGAGGATAGAGAGCAAGTGCTTGCTAAGTGCTAGCTGTAGGATGGAGATGTTAGTGAAAGATGCAGGGATCTAGGAAGAAGATAGTAGCAGGATATGGGTTTTAGCTGGAAGTGACAGCAGACAGCCCAGAAGAAGTGCATGCCTGGATATTACAGTTGAACTAGGTTAATGGGACAGGGTCAGGTCTGTTGCTAGGTCACAGTGCCACAGAGAGACATTTTCTGAGAGAAAAACTATAAACAGAAGAGGCAGCTAAGAATTGAAGTACAATCTTCTATTCATTAGTTAGGTATAAAGTAAACATCTAGCTTTTGTGAATAATATTTAGTTATAATTGCTATAATCTTAGTATTCAACCTGTGGAACAAAATATTTTGGCACTCAACTTTGCTGTTTTTAGTTTTATTTTTGAAATGATTTATTCATTCAAAAAACAGATTTTCTTTTCTAGAACTGTTTCTTAAATGTTATCCAATAAGAAAATAATTATATCTTATTTTGACTGTGCATACATTTTCCTTATTGAATTTTAATCAAATTTGGTAACTTTTTTTCAGATCCCATAAATGTTTGTATTCAATGTAAGGTTTTGCATTTAGTATTATATTTTTAATGTTTTCCATCCTCACACTTCTGAGGTGAAAGCCCATGGGTGTGGTGCTGGAAGTGATAACTGTGATATGAAAGCTGACATCAACAACTCACATGTAAAGCTTATGGAATGAGCTGTTTTTTTCTTAGACTTGCAGCTTACAGTTATTTCAATCTTTTTCACAGACTGAATCAGAACTAAGACAGGAAATAAACGACCTTGTAAAATGGAAGGCTATGGTTGATGAAGAAAATGCCTTCTTGAGGAAAGAATTCAGTGATTTACAGAAGAAATGTAAAGACAAAAGCCAAGAGCTTAAGGTGTGTTGACTTGTGCATGCCTTTACAGTACATTTGCTTTGATGTCCCCCTTGAAGTTTGCTAACCCTTGTGGCACAGAAAGTGACAGGCTTGCAGGAAAATTGCCTTAGGCCCTGCTGTACCACACAGTTTTCTCAAATGCAAAAACTCTGATAAAGATGCTTTAAAGCTAAGACTCAGAGCTTTATAACTTACAGATAAATAGTTAATGATGGAAATGGAGCTAAGAAAGTAGGAGTGTGAATATGTGGCTTCTTGTAATTAGATTCTGATGGGACTGGCATTATTAATTGATAAAACCCAGGTCTGGGAGGATATGTCTGTGTGGGTCTCAAAAATAGCTGGGGACAGCATCAAAGGCAGCTTGATCAATTAATGGGCTCTTTGCAAATGTGTACTCATCAAAGCTGTCATCCAGTGAAAAAATATGACCCATCCACCTGCATGAAAAGAGGCCAATAAAGTACACAGGTGACCTTGGCCATCAAATACAGAAGAAGCTGCTCTGAGGAGGAAGCTTCACAGTTTATGTTTGCTGATTAGTTCTCACCTTTTTTTCCATGTTTATCGGCCCTTATGGTCCTGCACTACAGGACACTAAGGAGTTTGTACAGAATAAAGAAGAGCAAAGCAGGCTGTTTATAAAAAACCTGGAGGAGGAAAATGAGAAATTACGTACACGCTGCACTGACCTGCTAAATGACCTGGAGAAACTGAGGAACCAGGAAGCATATTGGAGAAAAGAGAAACACAGTGCGGATGCGAAAGCAAAGGTATAGGACGAGGACTGAGTCTGTGCTGCTCTGCTGCCTCTAACTTCTTACAGGAAGTCGAGAACATGTTTTTTCTTTAAATAACAAGTTATATATTCAGATCCACCAGTGGGATCTAGCATTAATTTATATTCTTTCACTTAAGACCCATAGCTTTTTAAATATTGATGTCGCAAAGCAGGAAGCTGACTTCAAATAGTTATCCTAAAATGTAATCATTAAAAAATAAAGGCTATTGCTTTTGAAATAAAGTATGTTTTGAGAAATATACTTAGAACCATTGGTTTGACTTTTTAAAATGAAGGCTTACTTTTTCAAAATGATCTAGAATTAATTACAATACATTTTGGAGACTATTTTCTACTTCCTTTGAAATTAGCATGTAAAGAATCCCCACAAAACAGTTAAAAATACATATGGGTCTATGAAAGTGTTTTCTTTGGCTTAAAGGGAAAAGTAAAATTTTATTAGAAGGTAAAAGTCTTTGTATTATTCTCTATTATATTCTCCCATCCATTTTGAATATCATTTAAAAATAAAACATTCTTCTCTGGCATTCTCTTTGTCTTGAGGTTTTTGTTAATTTATTTTTCCATTACATTTCAAATTTCTCTTTCATCATATATTTTATTGAAAAGGGCAGAAACAAATAAGACTATTGAATATGGAAGTCTTTTGTGTGTGTACACAAGGAAATCTTATCTTAGTGTACATACGCATATATCCATCAAGTATGTTTTAGTTGATTATTCGTGCGTATATTTGCATGTTTAAGTAAGTGTGCAGATTTGTGCATGTATATTAATTCCGGAAGAGGGATAAATTGGAGGGTGAGTCTGTCAATTGTGTATATTGTATACTGTTCAACATTCAGTGAACCAATTAGCTATTGGGGTAACTGGATCCTTATATAATTTTTAAATTTTTATTATTTTTTCTGAAGTCCAACTTTTGGCAATGTGGTATTTCTATGAGTGTAAGTGATGCTGCCTTGTGCTCATGTTTACAGTCACCTGGCTGTTCAATTGTTGTTTGCAGTTTTTGTGTCATTCAAATAATCAATTCTATGGTTTGCTCTTGCTTTTGGTTAAGGAACATATTTGTACCTTGAATAGAATTAATTGGACTTTCAAAGTTTGTGGATTGATAACAATCTGTATCTTATTTTCTTCCTTAATCTTCTTAATTTAAGAATTTTATATGATAAAAATGTCCTGCTCTAAAGTATTTGTTTATACCGCATCAGATTCAATTGTTTATTGATTTGAGATTCAGTCTCTCCTTTCAAATTTCCTTGTGTGTATCCGTCTGTTTATAGACTTATTTTTGTAATGTGAGGCGTTATAGTTTTGTAACTTGAGTCAATATTAGGTAGTAAAGCCTACTTCATTCTTTTGGTAAGGCCTTTATGTAGTCCTTCACTAGGATATAATATTAAGAACAATCTTGTTAGTAAATTGCATTAAAAAGCAAATGGTTTCATGTTTAATTTAATAATTAATTTGAGGGAATTGTTATTCTACCTCTCAAGCATGTATATAGTATTTTAGCCTCTAAATGCTCTTGCTCCGCCTTTGTGAATCTGTGCACGCACCTCAGCCATAAACACTCACAGGTAAGGAGAAGTTACTCATTTTATCTTCTATATATACATCTATTTTCTTTTGTCTTTCGTAAAGTTATAGTGAGATCTTTTTAGGTTAGATAGTAACTGTTTTTAAGCTTCTAAGTAAATTGTTAGGTTCTGTTCTAAATAGCTGTATATGAAGTCTTTTTATTTCTAAATATCTTTGTTAACAATATTGTCTGTATTTTTTTGCTGTAGTTACTCTAGTGACAATTGTGAAATGGTATCCCATTGTGTGTGTGCTTTTGGGGGCCTTGTTTTTTGTAGCAATCAAGATTGATTCTAGAGCCCTGTGTGTGATAACTAAATGCCCTACTACTGAGTTATATCCCCAGTTCTCATTCTGACTTTAATTTGCATTTTCCTTGTGACTAATGATGTTGAGCATTTTTTCATGTGTTACTGATCATTTGCATATCTTTGGAGAACTGTCTATGCAAATATACTGTTTATAAGTCCCTCATCAGACACAGAATTTGAAACTATTTCGTTGAGTTTTTGAACAGATTTTTACTTCCTTGATATATATTTGGTAAATCTAATAGCTACAAAAGTTGTCTTGTTATATTGTACCAGTCTGATATTTTGCTACTTTGTTAATACAAACTATCATCTATTGTATTATATATAAGCTAATATATTATATATTCAATATAAGCAGTACTATACCAGTCTTATCTTTTATTACTGCATTTATATAAACTAAGTAGTGAGTATGAGAATAATTTTAAAATACAACATAATGTAGTATTCTCTTTGTCTTGAGTTTTTTGTTTATTTTCCCATTAAATCTCAAATTTTTCTTTTGTTATGTATTTTATTGAAAAGAACAGAAACAAATAAGGCTAGCTTTAGCGTCTTCAATATCTGGGTCTATCCACTCATACTACTGCGAGGTAATGGTGTTTCTTTAAACACAGAGACATTTTTCATTTTTTATGACACTTGTCACCTTTTGTTTTTATTGTTACTCTATTTTTTGAGTTATACAAGAAACCAATGTATAATCAAAGATCATGAACACCGGATCCTATCTTTTGAGATTTTTATAGCTTACTATGTTTTATGAGTATAGTTTTATCCATTCTGAGTTAACTTTTTTATTTGCTCTATTCACTTCTGTATCTTATCCACTCCATCTTGTTGCCCCCTTGTTTCCTCCAAATAATATTTTCTCTGCTTTCGTGCGCGCACACGCACATGCACCTAGATTCTCAATAAGAGAGAAAATAAGCCATGTTTTGTCTCACTGATAACGTCTTAATGTGGTGTGGGATACAGGTTCAACTTTATTCACTTATATCTTCCAGTTCTACCTCTTGTTGAAAATAAGTTTTCTTTTCCTTACTAAATTATTTTGAGTATCCTTGTTGAATGCCATTTTCTGTCATATGAGTTTATTTCTGGAACTCAGTTCTGTTCCTTTGCTTATACATCTACTCTCATGCCTTTGACACACTGTCTCAAGTACTGTAAATTTGTAACACACTTTGTACCTTGCATGTGTGTGTGTCTGGTTTTTTTCAAAATCTATGCCTAATCTCTTCTATTTGCATGTGAATTTTAGAATCATTGTTTCCATTTCTACAAAACAAGTAAGTTTTCATCAAAGGGGAGAAGAAAGACAAAATCTAAAATATATATACAGTTGTGGAATATTAGTTTAAAATACGTTACATTCTTTTATGCTGTGGAATATTTATTTAATGATGCAAATATGTGTTTCATCCTTTTATGTTGCATTTATTTAAGTCTGTAAAGCTGTGTTACTTTGCCTGTTTAAAACACCTGATTGGTCTAATAAGGAGCTTTAAGGCCAATAACTAGGCAGGAGAGAGAAATAGGCGGGGCTGCTAGGCAGAGAAAATAAATAGGAGAAATCTAGGTTCATGAGAAGAGAGAAGAACAAGAAAAGAGCTAGGAGTAAGAAAAGAAGGAGAGGAGGAGAATACCAGGAGCTGGCCACCCAGCCACATAACTAGCTGTGGAGTAAAAAGGGAAGAAAGACATATAGAACTAAGAAAGGTGAAAAGTCCAAAGGCAAAATGCAGAAGAAAAGAAATGGAATAACTTAAGTTAGAAAAGCTGTCTGGAAATGAGCCAAGCTAACACCAGGCATTCATAAGTAAGAATAAATCTCCATGTATTTATTTGGGAACTGGGTGGTAGGCCCCCAAAGAGTAAAAACAACAACTACAGTGCACGATGTATATATTTTTAGTTTTGTTGATCGTTTTTCTTCAGTGCCTCCTCAATTTACTTATAGTCTGTATCTCTCACAAAATTATTTCCATCTCAGTTCTGTTTGGATCTGTTTGTACAGTATATATTTTCCTTCCTTTTATTTTCTATTCGAATATTTGAGTCCTAAGACAATCTTTTATATATAATATTTTTATATATTTTATTCATCCTGCCAACATTTTTCTTTTGAGTATAAAGTTTAATTCATTTACATTAAGAATAGAGTGACAAGGAAAACTAACTTTTGCATTTTTTTGTATATCTTATAAATGTATGATAGTCTGTTTCTCATTGCCTTTGTTTTCTTCCTTGTCAGCAGAGACTGCTCATTCATTTCCTGGCTGCCCAGACCCAAATGACCACACAGAAACTATTAATTTTAACACTGTTTGGTCAATGATTTATGTATATTTTCAGCTAGCTCTTATATCTTAAATTAACCCATTTTTATTAATCTATGTATTACCACACGAGTCCGGCAACTAAATGGCCTCTCTCTGACTCCACCTACTCTCTCTATATGTCTCCTCCTGCCTGGCTATATTTTTTCCTGCCATAGGACATAGCAGCTTCTTTATTAACCAATGGTAATAAAACATATTTAAAGCATACACAGGGGGAATACCACATCACTTTCTGTGTGTTTAGTTGTTTTCTATAGTGTACATTTTGTTTCATTTTTATGTATGTATGTATTTCTATTGGTATTTTCCTTTTGTTTGTCATGAGGACTAGATTTGCCATTTTAAGCTTATTCCAGTTTAATTTGAATTAAAACCATCAGTTGCCAATATCTTATAAGAACTCTGCTATGTAGATCTGTTGCTATACTATTTTAGTAAGTGGTTATATTTTCACATGGGTTTATTTGTCTTTTTTTAACATGGAACTTTTCAAGATTTTTTTTGTCATGTTTTTCATCAAATTTCAGAAGCTTTTGTGCAACATTTGTTTTTTGCCCCTTTCTCCATATTGTTTTCCTTAAAGTTTCATCTACATGTAGACTCTCACCAGTCCACCTCAACTCTCCCCCCTATTCTTCCTAGATATCACCCAAAGTATCCCCCATGTCTCTTGTCCACTTACAAGACCTTTTTAATTTTTATTTTATTGGTGGCGCACGCCTTTA